TGTATATAAATAATAAACAAGACAATCTTATACTAAGATTTTTCATTGCTCCGATAATCGTAATTTTTAAAAATATTTTATTTTAACAAATTAAGGAGGTTCGGGCACGATATTAGTTGCTATTTGAAAATGTTAAAAAATTGTAGGTTGTAGTAGTCTACTTAAAAGACATTTCCAAAGTTTTAGAAGGATTGATCAGGTTTCAGAGTAAAACAATATCAAAGTTGCTAAGATTATTGTTTATTATTGCAAAACTATGTTGTGGATGTTAACAACAATTTATAAGCCACTGTCAGGCACGGACCGTTGACTTTGGGGGCCCTGGGCTAAAGCTATTTGTGGGCCTATCAATAAATATGTATATATGTACAGAACAAAACAAAAAATTCTTACGTCAAAAATTAAAAAAACAAGAACCCAACTTACCCAAATAAAAATTGCTTTGTTTAGCTGCTAGCGGCCTTTATAATAAAAAAGATTATTTTATACTACAGTGTATAAATCGACTATTTTTTCCATAAAATTTAATAGCCTCATGCTCATGAACCTGTTAAAATATCACCCATTAATATTATTGGTTGCTATTTGCGATTTTACATTTAAAGTAAGTAGGTACATGAGATTTTTTTATTTTAGAGTTAATTAACTCGTTAACGTATGGATGAGAACTTTTATTTTAGAGAATTAAACTTTTATTTTAGAGAATTAAACGCTCCATAATAAAGTTTACGTATAATTTTATGATAAAGCTACTCGTAAAAAAATAATTTAAGACAAATTCATAGCAAATTTTATGTTTTTCTTACTTTCCCGGAAAAAAACATCAGACTTGTTACAAAAAGTTAACAACATTTGATCATACATTTTTTGTAGATTTTATTTTCCATAAATATATGTCATTATTTTTTTAATGGTTTAACCCGTATAAATACAAATATTTTTTGCAATAAAATTGATATATATTTTTTTTAAATTAATTAGTATTTATTCAGAAATATTAATTTGGTTAAACGCCTAATGTAATATTGCTCTAATCCTGTACATTTAAATCAACCAAAGCTACTACGTTGTTAGCTTTACAACAACTGAGAACAATATCTTTGTAAATACAAACACAAATTTTGAAAAAATTATTTATTGATTTCCGTGTGTAGTTGAATCATGATAAGCTAGACACCATTCTTGTTTACGATTTCAATATGTTTTAATGTAACATATTCAATGCATATAAGTATTACCGATCTCATTTTCCTGTGCTTCTTTAAAAGCCTCTTTTGCTTTATTTTTAGTGGATGCAATTATTATTTTTTAAAACTATTATACAAAATTTGCCTATGTTCTTTTACATGCTTTTTCTCCCACAGCCATCTCCAAACGGCTTGCCCTGTTAAAATAATAAAAAAAAATAACTACGTTTATTTAGCAAAAAAAATATATTACAATTTGTTACAGATAAAAAAACACTACCTATAGCAAAGAAGCAAGTTAACTAAAGAAAAAACTTCTTGTAAGACTTAAAGCTTGGCATCACTTTTATCAGTCATGATTATTTTTGGTTCTTTACGACCAGCAAACGCTTTATCACCCACGGTTTATAGAACAGCTTTAAAACCATGCACATAGGCTAATAATTACTGCTAATAAAACTGCGCCGCAAACCGTCACTGTTAACATAAATTTGACATGGCACATTGCAGTACTATCGGTAAATAAAATATCTTTTGCATATGGCAAATCATGACTTCTATAGGCGTTATATTGACCAAAATAAATGAATTTGTTCTATCTCCTTTGGCTTCGTATTCAGAAAAAAGTTACTTTAATTTCTACAATACAAAAATAACACATACACAGTAAAAAAATATTCGTTAATTTTAACCAAATAAACTCTAATCTGTCAACTAAGTAAATAAGTTTTACCACAGACATTTTGTGGATTAAATAACAAAATTCTTTATAAATAATTTAATCATAATTTTTGTAACTTTTAAAAAGGACCTTATTTTTTAAAACTTTTTTGTAGACCCGGTACCAAAAGTATTTTATCTCAATACAAAAGTATTAAATAGTTTCTCAACGCCAATGTTTGAAAAGTTTATATGAACATTATAGTGACCTTTTAATTTCGCCGGCAGTAAACTATAACTTAAATTCGGGCACGGACTCCACTGTAAACTTACTGAGCATAGTTTGACAGATTAAATTTATAGGTTGAGTGATATACGTCTAGATTATTTCTCGAATTAAAGGAAACTATTTGACCATTCATAAAATCTGACGTATGTGTCAAAGTTTATAAATATTTTTTTAAAGAAAACTCCATTAATTTAAGGTATGTAATAAGTAATAATTGATATTTCGTCAACTAGATAACTTTTTTTTTATTGTTTTTTTAAAAATGTTTGTTAAAACTTGTAAATAACACCATAAAATCGTAAACAAAAATCCAATATGGAGGCTAAAATTTAATCGCTGTTAAAAAGGTCTAGTGATTTAATCGCTTATTTAAACGAAATTTATTCGAAAATTTAAGGCTTTTGATTGGTTCATATTATATTGAGGGAAATAATCATATATTATATCACGATAACTATGAATTTAATCGGTTAAACTAGGCTCAGTAGTTTTTTGTTTGGTTTTTGTTGGAAAATGTTGAATGCAAAATAATTTAATAAAATCACGAGACCGCGTAGCGGTCGAGGGGTTTTATTTTTAATTATTTTGCATGAAACTATTTTCCAAAAAGAAAAATCAAATAAAAAACTTACTGAGCATAGTTTGACAGATTAAAATTATAGGTTGATTGATATACGTCTAGATTATTTCTCGAATTAAAGGAAACTATTTGACAATTCATAAAATCTGACGTATGTGTCAAAATTTATAAATATTTTTTTAAAGAAAACTCCATTAATTTAAGGTATGTAATAAGTAATAATTGATATTTCGTCAACTAGATAACTTATTTTTTATGTTTTTTTAAAAATGTTTGTTAAAACTTGTAAATAACACCATAAAATCGTAAACAAAAATCCAATATGGAGGCTAAAATTTAATCGCTGTTAAAAAGGTCTAGTGATTTAATCGCTTATTTAAACGAAATTTATTCGAAAATTCAAGGCTTTTGATTGGTTCATATTATAATGAGGGAAATAATCTATTATAATTATTGAACAAAATTGAACACAAATAACCTTTTTTGATAGTAAATAAAATAAAATAGAAAAAAAATTGAACAAAATTGAACACAAATAACCTTTTTTGATAGTAAATAAAATAAAATGGAAAAAAATTGAGATGTAAGTGTTATTTTTTTTCTATACTAAAATAATTATTTTTTCTTAAAATAATTTTTAAGACATAAAAAAAGTATTAGTTTAATAAAATAAAAGTCATAATTACATACATTTGCAAGTTTGAATACCTTCAGAATGGCTCACTCTATGAAAAAATAAATTAGAACTTTTTTATGGAGCGTTCAATGTCCTACCAAAATAATTTTTCCGTTTCGTTTTTACAATGCTTAAATGTCAAGCTACAAAAATAAGAAAAAAGAAATTTTTTTCCATGTTATTTAAATGGAAAATAGAAAGTTAGGAACAGGCCACCACTAAATGTTAAGAGCTCAAATTTTTAGAGGCTTCTTTTTTCACCTTCCTGAAAGTTTTTAGCCTGTTTTTTAGTTGAAAAAAAAAAAGTTGCTCAAAAATGACACCCTAGTGTTTATAAAATATAAAAATTTGACATTTGACGGTGACACACAGATTCCCCTATTGTTTCATAGATGGCGCTCTATACAAATTTTTGATTTAAATCATTTTAAGATAATAATAAGTATTTGTTGTAAAAAAGTATAGTATGCACCTCGTTTATAAAATTTTCTATACACTCGTTAATTTAACCACTCGCTCGCAAGCTCGCTCGTGCCTAAATTAAATTCGTATATAAAATGGCGTTTATCAAACTTGATACATAATATACTATTTTGGAAATTGTGAAGTAAATTTACGGTACGGTCATTTAATTCAAATATTTCAGTACTGTAGGTACTATGTGAAATTTATACTTTAACATGAAAATTTCTAAATATGTCTAAATAAAAATTCTGTTAAAACCACCTATAATTTTTATATGTTTTTCTTAAATTCTGTTCTTTTTATGCATGATAAATATGTCTACAATGCATGAAGAATACTAAAAAAAAATATTTTCTTGTATTATTTCAATGCAAATATTTATAAATATTTGCATTGGAATAATAATAATAATAATAGGCTCAATTCTAAGTAATTTTTATTTTACTATAAATTTAAAAAAACGATATTAGGTTTTATTGAACATACACATTAATTATTAATGCAATAGACCTTTCTTTACCACCATTAATTCTGTTTATCTACTCCCCATTTATAAGCAGTGACTTAATGGCGTTTTAGTCATGGGCTAAAGTTAGCAATAGTGGCTTTCGGCTATTTTAGTCACGGGTTAAAGTTAGTTTTATTATAAATTGGGAAAAAGTGATGTTAAATCCGTTAACAATTGACAGATGTCGGATGTTTAACAGGTAAAATTTGCTTTAAATTCTGTTTTGTGTTCGTCGTAGATAAAGTATAGCATGCAACTCGTTTTATAAACTTCTCTACACTCTTAAATCATCTTAATAATTGAAAAACATTTTTTGTAAATTTAAGTCAAATAATAAATAACTTTAATTACGTAATACTAGTAATTTAAAATAAAGTTTTGAAAAGTTAAAAGCTAACAACTGTCTACTTTTATTTGCTGAATATATACTGGTATAATTATTACTTGTACCTATTTCACAATTTTATAAACCGATAATTTTAAAATTATAACATGCGACTATCATTTAACCATAGACAAAGGACGGTCTTTAAATGTTATTAAATGAATCATTATAGTTTTATATTTAAAATAATAATACAAATATCGACACATAAAAATTTAAAGATTTTTAAATGTATACATAGTTTACTTACCTACTAAATAGTCTCAAAACAACGCATATTGTTATAAACATCAGAAACATCGCTACAAGAATTCCTATCATCGCTGGGTCTATATATTTGTCTGGTGTTCGCTTTTGTTCTACAACTAAAATAAAAATATATGTATTACAGTTCTTATAAAGAATAAATTAAATATATCTTAGAGCCTTAGGCAAGGGTGGATCCACGGGGGGTTTAACCGAAGTTTTATTTAACTAAAAAATGAAAATAAACGATTTTCATATCAAAATCAATTCAATAAAATGAAGGTATTAAAAGTAAAAAGAAATCTTTTTTTTTAATTCCAAAGAAAAACAAATATGAATATTCGTAGTGCATGGGTGATTTTTTTTTAATTTTATTTTTGGATCCGCCCCTGGCTTTGGCACAGAACTTTATTTTAAGATATAAATTGTATTGTTTTTGTTTTATTTTATTGGCATATTTTCTTTTATCACATGTGTTGATTGCAATCAATATAACCCCGGAAATCTTTCTTATACATCACATCATCTTCTCATGATCTCATAGTCTCACTTGGAGCAATTAAGCTGCCCCACTTTTTTTAATAAATTTACATTTTACTCTTTATTAAAATAAAGTTGACCTCTATAATATTATCTTCAGAATCTGAGTGCCCAAATCCAAATGCGCCCTGTATTATATTTAAAACTCTTCGTAAAAAAATATAGCTATATACGATTTAATATTAGATATTATATAACATGATAGGGTATTTCCACGAAACCTTACCCCAACTTGACAAAAAAATAGATGTGTTATTTAACAAAATAAAAACTATATCTATCCATTTAATATGAAATTGACTATATCTCAAAAACTGCTTCACTTTCACAATTTTTGAAACGCAGTTTCAGTGTCGCACAAAGAAAAACACAAAGAAAAACTGTACGTAAAATTAATAAACTGCTGTCGTCAATTTGTTGTACATTAATATTATGTATTGGTGATTATTACAATACTAAGTACATTGAAACAATAAACTAGTCAGCATTAAACGATAAATGCAAAAATTTATTAAATTAACTATTGACGATCATTAAACAATGTTCTTTATCTTTAAAACAATAAATTTTTCGTCATAGATCCATGAACAGCAAAACATAAATAATAATAAACTGTTTGCATTGTCCCAACGGTAACTAAATATTGATTTTACGAACTTAACCATTAACTTCTTAAAACGCGCCAAAATTAATGCTACCTTATGCTGATTCAATCAACATAAACATTATTATAACGAATCGCTGTCGTAGACCTAAGCAATTTTTATCTTGTCAGTCTTATAGCGTCAAAAGGATAGTTCCGCTTTTAACCCTAAAGCTTTATTAGTGAAATTGTGATAAATATATGGAGCGAAGTCAAGGTGTGTAAGCTTGGGAAGTTATTTTAAAAATTTTTGACTTTTTGGATTAATTTTTAAGTTTTGTACCTAATATACGAAACCGAGGTGTGTGAGCTGAAAGTTATTTTAAACAGTTTTGACTTTTTTGGATATTTTTTTTATTTTTAAGTTTTAAGTGAATGAGTTTATAGTTTTTAAAATATACACTTTTAATATTTTAAATGAAATAATTTAGCATTTTATGAAATTTAGGCGGTCGATATATGTTTTAATATTATTTATATATTTAATCTTGACTTATTACAGGAAAGCATGTTTTGGAACTTTTTAGATAGAGCATTTTGTAAACCTCTTTAGAGCCCAAAGGTTCATATTATTTGTAAATTTCTAATGCAATAAAAAAATGTATTCACCAAAAACGTCTTTATTTTAAAGAAACCCCTTTTGTGATTGATTGCTGGGTAATTTGTATAAGATATTTTTTTCCCATTTCTATGTTGCTAAAACAAAATGTACCCACGTACCCAGTAAACCTTTATTTAAAATAAAAAGGTAAATTTGGCAAATAATTTTAATTGGGTTTGTCTTGGATTTTATGTAAATTTAAGTAAATCATAAACTAATGCCTTTTTGTCCGTAGTATTAATACTATAAGGGATCATAGATCTATGGTAATTGTTTATTGATTCAATGTAAAATAATCATAAACTAATGTTTACCGATTATAATAATAATAACATGCTTTCATATATCTATGTTTGTTGTTTATTGATTTAACGTATTAATCATAACCTTATGTCCAACTGTAAAAACCGCTGTTCATAGATCCATGCTCATAGATTAATTAATAATCATAACATACATACAGCATTCATAAACTGATGTAAATCTGTTTATCGTATTAATTATAGTCAAACATATATCCATGCCCCTCATTCATTGATTTAACGTACAGAAATCGTAACTTGATGAATAAGAAAATTTACGAACGATGGTTCATTGTATTAACAACACCCGTCATCGGCTGAAAATTAATGTTGTCGTTCATTGATTTGATGTACTTTTTTATTAATATCACGTACCTTTTTCGTTCAGTGCTGTTACAATGGAAATACCCTATAATGACTTATATAGTTACGGGTTAGGGGTACATAATATCTTATATACATATACAGGATGTTCCAACGAATACTCCAAATTCCTCCAAACTTTTTAACGGATGAGACTAATAAATAAACTACAAGAGAAATATGGATGAAATCTTTTTATTTTTTTTTTATAAGAAAAAAGCAAAAAATAAGAGAGTATACCTATAGGTATCCAAATATATCACATATTACCTCATTGATTTCGGCATCGAGAAACTCAACACTACTTTGCGGCGAGGAAGCAGGCAGTAAAGATTAATGATTGCATTTCAGACATCCGAAATATTATCCTGGGAATTCCCCAGGGGAGTATTCTGGGACCAATTTTGTTTTTGATCTTTGTAATAGACTTACCTATGTGATATTGTAACAAATGAAAGCGAATTTTGTACAAACTATGCTGATGATAATAACCTTCCTGTGGGTGCTAAAAAATTCTACGAACTTAAGGAAAAATGTGAGAGATTGTTCTCAGTAGCTAAGACTGAAAACAAACTTATTCTTAATGATGATAAAACCAATATAGTAGTTTTTAGGACTAGACAATCTAGACCTGAAACTATCCTAACAAATAATTGCCAACTAAAAATAGCCAATGACTCAAAATTTGTGGGAGTGTGTATCGATGAGTTTTTAGACTATGATTTGCATATGAACAATCTCTGTACTAAACTGAACGGAATTAAATACGGAATAAGAGTAGTTCATAATTATTTAAATCTTAATAGGATAAAAACAATATACTTCGATAATTTTGAGTCAAAGAATAGAAAAAATATTTGTAATACAGAAGGCTGTTATTAGAATAATGCCTGATAAAAATATAAAGAATCTTGCATAGGAGAATTTAGAAACACAAAAATTTTAACAGTTTATGCTTTATACATTTATGAATGCTTGATTTTTTTATTTAACAATAGACATACATAACTTTATATCACGTAATGGTGGATACGAAACCAGAACTTTGAATCTAGATTATCCTCGGCATTCTTTAACAAAAACAGAAAAAAGCCGTCACTATAGATACATGTATAAAAATTTGTAATAAACTACCACATAGGTTTAAGTCAATAAATAGATTGGATGTATTTAAGGTGAAGATAAAACTTTTAGTTCAGTTGGAGCCATATTGCATAAATGATTAAGACACCAAGATGTAATGTGACGTCATTCCATTTTTAAGAATTTATGATTTATTGTAAATACGGAAACTCTGGAATAAAGATGTGGCTGAACCAGCTCCAGTGAGAATGCCTACAACCGCGCATTTGGGTCGGAATAGGCAGGAACCGGAATTGGTATCTGGAATAGGTTCGAGTTTGGGAACTGGTACAGGTCCCCAAAATCTTAAATTGCACAGGGGGTTAAGTGACATGTTTTAAAGGTCTTTTAATTCTTAATAAGATACGTACTGCAATTTTTTCCTTAATCTGTTGGTTAGTTTTCGAGAAATTAACAATTTGAATTTTTAGATAAGGTGAATTAAGAGTAAAAAAAAACAATTGGAATACATTGCTCAAAATGATTATCTCCAACCTAAGCAATAGTACAGACGTTGTTCAAAATAACAACTTTTAAAATTACAGGTTTCAAAATGACCACTGTTAAAATGACTCTAAATTAAATCTGTCAAAGTGAAAGTTGTCTGTATTGTTTTTCTCTTAATTTACCTAATTTAAAAATTCAAATGGCAATGTCTTGAAAACTGACTGACAGATTTTTTTAAAAGTTACAGAATCATATTAAGAATTAAAAGACCTTTAAAGGAATATGCAATTTAAGATTTTGGGGAGGGTGGGGTGGAGCGCGTAGTGTGGGTGAGGTCGTTAAACGTACATGTCCCAGTAGAAATAAAAATTTAAACGTGCCAATTTTCGTTGGAACACCGTGTGTTTTTTAATACATTTGATATAGGTACTAAGTCCAATTAAAAAAAAACAACAATTTTTTTTACTCTTAAATACTTTGTTATATAATATTTAAATAGAATAAAAAAATGGTTCTACAGAAAGTCCGAAATTGACTTCTGACCGATCATATCTTTTAAAATAATTAGTATTAGTTATAGGTAATTATTTAATTTTATTTTTCTATTAAGTATTATATCTACTTTTAACATTTAAGTTTAAAAAACACAAAACATGTTTTTAACCATCCCATTAAAGCTATAATTTGTTATTTTTGCTAAAACATAATACAATATCGCTTTAAATAAGATAAAACAAGTCCAACAAAATAAATTAAATGTGCATTCTAAAATAATTTTTGACTTAAAACCTAAACCAATACAATAAAATAGTAAAACAAGCTTTTGCTAACTTTTTAAAGTATGGAATGGAAAACAAATAAATTTACATGAAAAAGGACTTGCGGGCCTTTTTTTACGCTATTTAAAATATAGTTTTATTTGAAAGGTGTTGACGAAAAATGTTATCTCAAAAAATCGCCACAATTAGGAAAGTTAAAGAAGAAAACATGTCAGAAGGTTACCATTAAAAGTTTAAGTGTTATCTTAGTTTCACCCTTTTTTACACAATGATTTTAAAGATGAAAACAGGATTTGGTAAAATATAAATTTATTATTTGCAG